TGTAAAAGTTAACTATAACCGAATAAAAGGAGCCGGCCAAGAGGCCACCTTAACACCAAAAAAAAAAAAAAAAAAGTATTTGTGCAATGTATCAAGCGCACCAATTCTCATTTCAAAGTTCTTATAATCCAATAATAGATGCATTATGGCATATGTTCATGCGTCAATGCACAAAGATAATTTCACTATCAATAACAATTTTGTCACCCACAAATTCACCAACTGGAATCGTGAATGTAAGCAACTTCATGGATGCAAAATTTGCTCTATCTCACTTGCAAAATTTTTCCTTTGTAATCTCTAATAAGAATGAAAAGGATTGTTTGAAAATTCAAGAACTTTTAAATCAATTACCTTTGGTATGCAACAAAATCAATCGTATGGAATACGTGTCTCATGGAAGAGTAGATCCTAATGTTACAAATATTTCCGATATTATGACAAAAATAATTGAAACCCAACATGGTATAAAAGAGTTCATATTTAAACAAAATTTAGATTGTTATTTATAAATATTCCTATGCAAGCTCTTAAATCTCAAGTAAATTGGTTAACTTCTCTAATGCAAGCCAACTCTGAACAATGCAAACCCAAGATAAATCCTTATAATCATATAAATCTAAGAAATCAGAAAAATAGATACCCACTTGGCAAAACCTAAGTAAAGAGGTAATACAAACTTTTGATGATAACTACCAGAGCAAACTTCACTTAAGACTAGTTAACCAGACAAGGCAGAGTACTGGCAAGTTACTTCACCAACCAGGCCACCAGAACTTACCTGGGTTCTGAAAGAAAAGGTTCGATTTGTAAGGTAATCGAGACCATGGGACTGGGGTGTTCCCTCTGGACTATTTGAATTGGAAGTCTGGGGAGATAGGCTAGAGGATAAGGTGAGTAAAGTCCTGAATATCGGGAAGTCTGATAGAAAGATACTGGGGTTTGGGTAAACTCTACAAAGGCAAAGGACCAAAGACTAGATTAGCCAAATTGTGAGTACAGAAAGCTCTAACAGGTTTACCCTGAGAATAAAATTATTCTAAGG